ACTCTTCCTCACTTAGTAGAACTGTTACGATTCCATTTTACTAACAATATGATCGAGGCCACGCCATAGCTCAAGCGGTTAGTCGCTGGCTTCCCGCCGCGGCAGCCCGGGTTCGATCCCGGGTCTGGTCAAGTAGGATTTGTGATGGACAAACTGGTGCTGGGCCAGGTTTTCTCAGAGTGCTTCGGCTTCCCCTGCCAATCTTAATTCCACCAATTGCTCCACAATCACCCTCACCTATCATCTGGGGCTGGTACAATAGGCCAGAAGTGGATGCAGTACAAGGGACTTAGTCCCACCCCACTAGCAATAAAAAATGATGCATTTCATTTTGAAAATCTTAACTAAAAGTACCAGTATCATGGCAGTATTTCTAACGTCACTATAAATCTTGACTGTTTTGATGCCAGTTAGAGGAACATTCCAACTGGTGTTTCCTGCTACCAGTATTTCATAAAAATGGAAATTCCTTCTATTGTTGAAAGGAATGTAGCGCTTTCCAACCAGCTAATTTCAATATAATTTAATTATATTTTCTTTGGAGGCAAGAAGTTTGCTTGTTTGTAAATATTTCACAAGGCATGTAATTTATAAATGTGTTTATGGGAATTATTACTCCTGAAAGTATTCAGAAACATTTAAAATACCACCCTTTGAATATGTCTAACAGAGAAACATTTGTTACCGATAGGTGGTTAAACTGAGTTGCTATACAAGAGTCCTTTGTGTCCATGACAAGAAACTAAAAGTGTTAATAATAAAATATCTTAAATGGCCGGACAGTATCTTGAAATAATCACAAATTATAAACAATATACAAGACCAGCTTCCAAGTACTGACCAGATCAGATGACAGGTAATATGACGGAACCTGCCTCAAAGGCTCCATCAGTCCACTGGAAAGGAAAAACATTTATGAATCATCCACACTTCCGCCAGTATCAATATCTCTAAAAAAAAAATAACAGTCTGCTTGTACTTCACACTACAGAATGATATGAAACACACAAAATGCAATAAATGTATCTAATAAAGAAAATATTTATTTAATCATTATCAACATGAGACTTGCTAGCAATATTCAGGGTGTCATTATGGGAAGAAAGCCTAAGAATACAGTTTGCTTTCCATTTATCCACAATATAACCAAACACTTTTCTTTCCTATAATAACAACTGTTCCAAAATCTATAAGCATGATTTCAATTTTCTGGTCTGAGCAAACGGTGAGAGGCCTCAGAGCCTCTTTTTTTTTTTTTAAATTGTCTACATTACAATCCACTGTCACTCTTATTTTATGAAAATATTTACAATTTTTTTTTGTAAATTTTACAAACTACATCTACTGCAAACATATACTGCATTACATACTCATACATACCATATTACAACTCTTGCTTGACAAGTTAGTATGGGAAGAATGACTGTAATTAGTAAAAATAATAATAAAAAATAAAAAAATCAGAATAATACAATAAAAGCAATGACACAGTCACTGTTTATGGACGGTATGACACTGAGACTAATCGCAACAAGCTTAGTAGGCTTGTATTATTACAAGAGGTAAAGAGAAACTAGTGCTGACAACTTGAAGAACAAAACCTGCTTTGGTAATATTCCCAAAGCAATACTGCTTACACTGTGATCCTACATTTTTGATCTGGAAGCTGTAACTTGTGATCAGCAGCACTCTTGAATATTAACTTTTATCATCTGGAAATAAGATATTTTAATCCCCTGCAACTCTGGGGCTTGTAGCCATATTTTAATTTGGGGAGTAAGAGAATTAAGTTTAAAGAAAAGCAATGCATAGCCAGTAAAGGCTAAACAACAACTTAGTTAACATTTTCACATCTGTTCTGGTACTCTCTGCAACTTATATACTCGGTAACAGGTTTACAAATTATAAATTTATATGCTGACTTTCTGATAAACTTTCTCCTGTACGTATATTTTCCGCAGTAATGTAAAATATCCAATTGTGAAAACATACAAGCTTCAACTGCTCAAAGACACAAGAGAAATGTCTTTTATTGCTTCAATCTGGCACCCAAAAAAACTTTAAGAGGAAGCTTGTCCTCTTCTCTGAACATCAGTATGTTACACTTCATGCCATCCACTGACAAAAATATTGTACTAACTGATTAACAACAAACTAATCTCTCTGAATAAGTGCTAGTTTTAACACAAGTACTGAAAACAAATCTATATCAATATATATAGCATTCAACAAGGAAGGTTTCCTTCAACATAAAGTCAAAACTAATTTACAATATAAAACGCAATATGCATAAAGTATGAAATCATGTATAGTCATAATGTGATATTACATTAAATTTATTAGGGCAAAGAAAAGTATTTAACGAACTGACATTCAAAAGGAAAATTGGCTTCATTAATGAGTACGGGTGTGTGCCTAAGCATCACACCACGTACGAGTATACAAAAGAGGAAAGTAGTGTGAACATTAACTGTCTATGCACTCTGAATCTGAGCAATAGTTGAATCCTTTACAGGTGAAGAAAATATCCCCACCGTTTGCCCCCCAAATTTAACCGATCTGTATACAGTCTCTTTACTGATTAAACCATCACAGTTCTAAACAGGTTTCAGATCATAAAATGCTGAAAGAAAATCCCTAACAGTGTAAGCAAAGTCTTTATATATATTGAGATTTACCCTCTTGTTCACCTGACATCACCAGCTTCTGCAGCACCTCTCCTATTACATACATTCACACCGCAACATACAATACTGCCTCACAATTATCATTAGTTAAATCAATACAGTGAGAGGCAGGAGAAACCAAATGTTCCTAGATTACTGTACCAGTAATACATCTTGGATGCAATGAAATATGAGTTTATACATTTACATTACATAAAATCATCTATCTGAGGAGATTTTGCATCTTATAGTACTACATACATTGCAATGGATGTTGTATGAAAGCAGAAAGTATCCAGAATATACATTAACATGAATACATCCAGGCTTGGTATCTGTTTATCTACACCAACTGGGAACTCTGCCATTTATAGTAACATGATATGCAATCTGTCTGTCAAATTTAGCCCAAATGTTCAGTGTTCACTCTGCAGCATGTCTAGTCCTGCGTGTCGAGTGCAACACTCTACATCTGAGGGTCATAAAAGCAGTAAATATGAAGATTACTGTACTCTGGGATGTGACACCGTGTAGACTAGTAGCCAGGTGAGGAAAATAATGGTACAGATATGAGGAGAGGGCGAACTTGGACTAGTCTAGACTACACGACATTGCAGTAATCTGTTCTCCTGGCAAACATAATGTTTTAATAAAAGGTAAAACAGCTTGTAATTCCACTTAAGTTGAAATTGCTGTGGTAAATATAATTTTAAACATGGCCTTGATATGCTGCTCTCTTAAATACACCATATTTTCTTGGTACAGACCAAACTATGCTAAATGTTCTGTTAAATGGTAATATCTTGTTAATAAAATTAAAGTAATCTCAAGGTGTAGTTAATAAAATTTTACATAGATCTGAATGTAGTAAAACAATTACAAAAACCTATTACAAATCCCTAAATGGAAAGCACCCCACACAGATTTTCTGGTTACAGACTTCAAAATTAAAGGTTCATTTTCAAGAATAGAAAATGTAATATTTTTTGAGAGAAACAGTGTTTACTTATTACCCTATTAACTGGAATCATTCGAGTAATTAGTAATTTTATTTTTATGAGAGCTTTAATCAGATACCACTTACGAAAATAGGAGTACCTCTATCCCGAAGAACTAATTTTCAAATAAATATCTAACTAGATGCCATCATAAAATTAACTGAATACTAGACTCCACTAGCGCAATATTTCACAACAAACAATGCTGATTAAAAAATCCACTTATTATACTTAAATTTCTGTCATGAAGTAAATGGAATTTTATTGAAAAGTTAATGGGCAACAAATACAGTGGGCATATATATGAGACAGAAGCAAACAATATTTCCTATTATGCGTCTCCCCGCTTAGAATATGATTTAAATTTAATCAGGCATCTGTAGCCATAGTACAAACACACCTGCCTCTTACACAGGCATCTCTAAGTCAGTTATCAGTATGATTATCGTGTTCAATAATAGTAGGAGTAACAACTAAAACATTAGCAATTTTATGCACATTTTGGTATAAGTATATCTGCCCATACAACAAAAGGGTACAATGGCCTGGCCAATCATACCACGAGTATTCTCCCCCCACCACTAAACAATTACTAAATATTACTCCTGTCTGTTAAATTCTCATTTTCTTCCACATAAGAAAAAAAAAACAGTAATGGCTAGTGTACAATTTATAAATCTATGACTACATGAGATTATAATCATTACTACTGAACACTGGGTACCCTTTTTACAGGAAACTCATGGATATGAGAAATCATTTAAATAAAAACAAAATTTATGTATAAAAACAAAAATACACAACAGTACAATAAAAAGTGGAGACCTATTTGTTCATGACGGCAGTTCCTGTATCCTGTAAGGGGGAATTCTCATACTGAATATAATTTAAATATAATTTTCTGGGACAGTTTACATAACATCATTTTACAATGACTTCATGAAATAGAAAGTTTCAGGAACATAGCTGCAGCTTCCTGTCACTAGGGCTCAACTAACTCATAAATAAGTGGGTTAACCAAAACACACCTTTTATGAAGAACATTACTGTATGAATAACAAATACATAATATTAAATATGAGATTAGTGGAAATGTGCAACAGAAATATTACACTGAGCTTATAGGTTAATCCCATGGGTATGAGGTGCACCTGTTGATAGTGACTGGAATTATTTCTGGAAAAATCAATACCTAATGGAGTAGTCAAAGGATGGATGA